CGGGCGGGAAGCGAGCAGACCCCAGGCGCGGGCGGGTTTTGGGGCGGCCGGGGCCGGACCGCAGCCCCCCGGCCCCGGGAGAGCCGGGGCAGAGCTCCTGGACGGGCCGGGGGCTCCGGGTCTGTCCCCCCGAACCGTGCCGGTTGCCTCCAGAGCCCGGGGCGCTGTGAACGGGGCGGGCTCAGCCCGTTTGTGGGCGGAACAGACCCCTCGGGGCGGCTGTGCTGCCGCAGCGCGGGGCGAGGGCAGCACCCTCCGGGGTGGGGCAGCTCCAGCTTCAGGCACAGCACCTCAGGAAACCCAAATAACTGCCTCGTTAAGCTTCCAGCGCCTTAGACATGTCCCCCTTTAACAGGAGCCCCTTTTCAGTTTAAAATGGCTTTGGTTTCATTGTAGCCTCTCTGCAGTATGAATCCAGTGACCAGGACTGCTGAGATTCGCAGCATCTCCCGGTGCCACGGGGGAGGCACATTTTGCAGGAGAGCATGTCCTCAGGATGTCAGGAACGACCTGACTCACTAACCTGTGATGTGTGGCACTATATAGGGCAGCACGGTCTGTCAACTTTTGTCATTGTACTTGTAAAAGCTTAAAGCCTGGCAGCTGAGCAGCACCCACCTGGTAAGGAAAGATAGAACTGAAGGCCATGGGTAGTGGCCATTTCACAATCAAACGTTAGTTTTTAAGAGGAAGTCAGTGGACTGAAATTACACTTTCAATATCATTTATACTAGAAATAATGAGAAAATTAAACACTAAGTTCTCTGTAGTTTTAGCTGGAGTTTTGACTCAACTACCAGGGCAGCCCAAACTAGTAGTCAAGTAGGCAGAGTGCTGCTTAGCTGAGTAAGGTGCCTCTGGCCATACACTGTGCTAGCTCAGAGAAGGAAACAAAACTGAGGCAAGAGAAAGGGAAGGAATGGGCAGAAGGACACAGCACCATCAGGCTCCCTGACCAGCTGATCTCTACCACCCCTGAGTCTGTGGGGCTGTGGGCACTGCCCTGTGACAGACAGTGAGGGGAACAGCCAGGAGACATGGGGCTGGCTTTGAGGCGAAAACCCATCATTCAGATCAGGGTAACTTCTGCAGTGGGGAACGTGGGCCTTGGGCTGGACAGCAGCAGGCCACGGGCTGTATCAGCTCCACCAAAAATGCTGTAAAAATTCCAGGTATTTCCCACCAGTCTTACAGCATCTGTAGTTTACAAAAACACACATTTAGAAGAAACCAAAGCCCAACTAATTTTGCTCCTTTGGTACATGGTTTTGTGACATACTATAACATATACTGGAATTTCCTATACAAGCTTACAGCCAGTAAATTATGACTTGCAGAGAGCTTGGCTTTTTAACATCTCTGAATGATTACATATTTGAGGAATATTATTTTGGTTATGGAATCAGACTCGCCCCTTTTGTTGTCATAGAGCAGTACTCATTATGCCTCCTTGGAGTAATAAAAACTGCTCTGTCTTGACAAAACAGGGTGTTTTTTTTCCTTTTTAAGGCCACTTGGGGCATCCTGAGGCTTTGGCTGGCTGAAAGCAGCTCTAAAATCCCATCTGCTGAAGCTGCAGCAAAACTTTCTGTGTGCTCCTTGCAACCAGCCCATGTGCTTAGGATGTCGTTTCCAGGCAGAGAGAAGGCAGCAGTAGTTTCCTTCCATTTCTCTCAGCTTTGCCAGAATAAATCCTTGAACACAACACAGGTCCCAGAATAAATCCAGTCTGTATACAATTAGAGAAATGTGGTGCCAAATAATTGAAGATGATTCCAAGTTGAATCTATCAAAGTTTAAGTCTGTGTTTCATCTTTAACTTTGTATTTCTTGTCTTGGATGTTTGATTTTTCCTTTTTGACACAGTACAGTAATAATATAGGGTGGGGTTTGGTTCTGCATAAATATATGTAAAATTCATAGCATACAGTTTTTGAATGATGTCTTTTGTTCAGAAACAAAATGGGGTTCTCATTGTTACTGAATACCTCTGTAACATTATTCCACAGTCATGATAAATGAGCTTTATTTCTCTGTCTCTAAAGTCATGCAAATACTGGCATCTCTGCAGGTACATCAGAAGTTCTCTGTTCAGCTGCAGGAAATGCCAAGTCAGTTTTTTCAACATTCAAAAAGCAAACCACCGTACACTGAAAAATATATCACCACCAAAGCAAAGCAGGAACTTGCAAATGTATCTTGGCTGGGCTAGATGCCTATACTTCTCTTTTCCAGTCTGTGGCAGAAAGGGAACTGGAGTTGGCTTCAGCAAATTCCCTCAGCCCGGTGACTGTGCTGGTTGTGTACTTGGTGGAAGTAACCTCATTAAAAAGGCTTGTTTTGCCCAGTAGCAGTGGCTGGCAAATGATCAGTTCAGCTGTCATGGACTCAGGCTTTGTAAATGAAGATGACTGCCACATTCCCCCAGCCTGTTCCCTCACCTGCACTGCTGGAGGCAGCCGGCAGCTCTCATGCCAGGAGTGCAGCTCTGGATGTCTCAGGGAAGGTTTTCCAGGCAGTGGGAGCATGGGAGCTCAGCACTGCTGGTGAGGAGAGCTGTGCTCACATGGAAGGAAACTGCTAGAGCTGCTTTTTAAAAGTAACATTTACACACATGAAGTGAGTATGGGTCTTCATGACGTTCAGGTCTAATTTTCATGTTGGCATCTAAACTGCTCTGTGAGCTGTCAGGTCTGGGCATTCCAGTCCTCCCTCCAGAACAAGTTAGGCTGGTGATGAAGCTGATTGCTGCTAGAAGCGTCATTATAATCTCAAATTTAACTCAGAGAAGGAAGTCATCCCCCCACTCCTTCTCCTTTTGATCTTTCTGCCTTATTCATTTTTATTTCACCTGGGATAGCTACGTAGTCACAAAGAAGCAGTAACAAGTATATGTATAAGGTTTGCAGTCTCTCCTGATCCTATTTATTTTCACTGTCTTGCTTCTCCACTTTCTATCACCATTCTTCATCTGCCAGGTTCATTTTGTTTTCTCCATTGTCTTCCCATGCCATTATTTCTTCTGTGTATTTTAACACTCTTCTTGTCTTAAGCTACTTACTTTTCCTAAATACTCAAGTTGTTATCTTGAAGGTCAGCAACTCATCCATGCTCTTTTCTCCTCTCAAGAGATGCATTTTTCCATTCCCTCTGACGTGTGTTGTAACCATTTAACAGCCATTCTCATACTTGCCACCAAAATGTGTCCCAGCAAAATCCACATTTACACATTCTGCTGCCCATCCCATCAATTTCAGTCAAGCTTCTGTGACTACTTTAAATGGCATCTCCTTAGTCCCCCAAAGCCAGTATGTGGTGGCACTACAATGTTTTAAAATAAAAATATAGTAAGAATATGTGAAGTTGTCCTGTATAAGGTGCAGTCACCTCTGTGGTGGCATGAAGGATGTAGACATCATTGTGCTTGTTTTCCTTGTCTTTCCTGTCTTTGTCCTCTCTTTTCAGTCTTCTCTGAACTGACCTTCATAACTGAAACTTCAGCTGCTCTGTGTAAAGCCTCCTTCGAAGAAGACCCCTGTGCCTTTCTCCGGGTCTGCAGCCAGAAGGCAACGCTTGTAGCTATTTCTGGGGAAACCAGTACCTTCACCTCCATAACAAGTTCAATGGAGAAGTAACTGAATAGCAGAGACCACTAAGCAATATACTTTGTCTCTGCCAATGAATAACAAAATGCTAGACTCTTTACAACTGTTTAAGCCAACCTGTTCTTTTCCGGGGAGGGGAGGGGAGGTGCGGGAGGGAACAAGCAGAGGGCACCAGGGTGTGTGTGGTAGCCTGGGTATCCTGCTGTGATCCGGCTGCTTCCTGGCACCCGCATAGTTCCCACGGGCTGCAGAGGGGCTGTTCTCCCTGCACGGGGAAGACAAACGCCTTCACGCCCTGCCATAACCTCAGCACTTCAGCTGTCCTCCTCCCTGAAGGAGCACAGTGCTGCCAACCATTGCAACTCTTTAACACCTTCAGTCGCAAGCTATATATGTCGCAAGTTATATATGGTAACACAATACCTGGCTGGTTTAAGAAGCCCAGCAACGTAGTAATAATAATTACATGGGATAAAATTACTTTTGGAGACACAATACCAAAGAAGTTCCTTTAAAAAAAGAAAAAGTAATATGTATTAGTTCTTTCTCTGTTATGTACATTCCCATTTCCACCAAAAAAAAAGGTGCTGAAGTGTCAAGACTTGTTGGGGTTTTTTTGCCAGGATTTTTTATTTAAAAAGACTATGAGAGGATCCTGCTCTGTTCTTTGCTGCACTAGAGCTTTCTGCCTCCAAATACTCTGCCACGCTGAAGCTGGCAACAATCACACTAACCTTTCAGCAGCAGTGCAGGAACTGCTTGGACTCCTAGCTGCTATCAGTGCTGAGGATGTAATCCCAAAGGAAGAAGAAACCCCCTGGGTACAAACGGATAAAACACTTTTTTCTTTTTTTCTTCTTCCTGAAGCAGCCATGCTTCCTGAGTCTGAAAGTGCTAGAAATGAAGTTGCAACTAACTGCATCACAAACTTCCTCTCTGGCTTTTTAATTTTTTTTTTAGTTTAGACAGAGAGCTGGTAGAAGTTGCTTGATCTTTCTCTGCAATTCCTTTTAAAGATGCAGTTTCAGGAAAAAATGTGCGAAATGAGAGTGATGTACAGTGGATTGTTTGACAGTCTTTAGAGTAGTCAGGCTATGTTCTGAAGGTTGCTTTCGAATTTGTAATTTTTAGAGCAACTTCCAGTTTGCCAGATATCTTTCTCAAAGACTGGAAAACTAAGTATGTGTTCATTATTTCCGGATACAGACTGGTACATCAATGCTTGTATTGTGGGAGGAGATGGAAGTTTTTTAAATTGCCAAATTTTTATATGACATCAAATGCTTCAGTTAGTAGCACTCCAATTAAATGATCAGATAAGGTAACAAGATACCTACTCACTTTTATAATTCAGAAAATACAGTAATAGGTAATATCTAATATTGCTCCACTCTTCAGAAGGGGAAATGAGCTCTAAACAAAGAGAAGTGGGAAATATTGTCAAGCCAGCAGCCCTGTGGGCTCCTGTATCACAAAGGGCTGTCCCCAAGTTACATAATATATCTGGCATTAAAGTCCCCATCACGGCTGCAACTGTTGCCACCAGGCAGACAAACAAAACCAAAGGACAGCTGTAGCATTTAGCTGTTGCCTTACAGAGCCTTCAGGCATCTCCTTCCTTTTGTTTCTTCTGTCCTTCCTAATGTCTCCCTGCCTCCACTTCCAGCCTTGCCACAATGAAGATAGCATTTAGAAATATCAACTTTCAAACCCTCATTCTCTATTTTTATGAATGTGTTTCACATAAAATATTCTTTGCACTATTTCAGGCTCTGAATACCTCTAAAATGAGGAATTATGTTGGAGAACAGGTATCACATTTCATGTCATATTCTTTCCCTTTTACCATTATTATCAATAACCAACTGAAATCAAGAGACTTCTTGCAAATCAGGGTTGGTTTGCTTTTTAATGTGGCCTTGACATGCACTTTCCATGCACAACAATACTGACAAGTAGAGTCAGGAGTGGAGAGCTGGTAGGGGCAGAACTTCAGCCCACCACTCAAGGTGGTGGTGATGGAAAGAGTACAATCACTGGTCATCAGGGCTGAACAGGAGAATGCTGTGATCCCACTAATAACCGAGGTGTTTGGTTGAGCAAGTGGCCTGCTAACTAGATTTTAAAATGGAGTAAGACTTCTCCAGATGCCCCCAGAAAGTTGAAATGCTCAGACTGATCCTTTTGTCTCTTAAGCAACTTGCCTTGCACCCAAGCAGGAATGTGCACCACCCCAGCACACTGGAGCAGGACCCCGTTGGTGTGCTCTGGCCACATAACAAGTTTCTGTTTGCATCCTGAGCCAGGTCACAGCAAGGTCTCAATCACTGCATTTCAAATCACACAGACCTGCCCAGGGCCATCATCACTAGGGGAAAGCAGCAGGAACCTTAAGTTACACAAATTACCAAAAGGCTGATCTTAAGAGCACACAAAGGCCCTTCATTTCAGCTAACAGTTGATGCTTCTGAGAGGAAAACTTTTTACTCTGTGTAAAGGCAGAAAGAACACCAGAGTTACTGTATCAAACAGAATAGAGATCAAAGTGATCTCTACTGTGCATCATCAACTTGCATAACTGAAATTTGCCTCTCTACTGTACTAGGAGGAACTATTTAACACTGTATTGAATTCTTTCATAAACATCTACCAAGTTCATTTCAGGTCTAATGTTCTGGTATTGAAAGGGGATTGGTTGGTGGGACCTACCCTGAACACATCTCCCCTGCTTCATGATAGGAAGGAAAGAAGTTCTCTTCTAAGCAGTTTTCAAGTTATATCCACTTCAAACCATACATATCACTTTTTATCCACAGAAACAAAATACCCCATTAAGGATAAGATATATTGAATGAGTTCCCTCTGCTATAGGAAAACTATAGAAAAAAAACCTGCAAATAGGCTATGTAAGCAATAAGCAAATAACCCTAGGATAAATAACATGAAATAGGGCAAATATTGTCAGATAACAGGCCTCAGTGCAGAAGTGACCTCCATATATTATACTAGATCAGTTTCTAACAACCCAATGGAACAAGAACAATGCATAGGCATTTTAAGATAAATATAGTATCTTGCTAAACATGTCACATCCTCTCAAACTTCACCACCCAGTCCTAATGGATCAAAACAATTTACTCCAGTTATTATCATCCTGGTCAAGAACTGACTGCTTTCCAACCCTCCCATCCCAAAAAAACTCCCCCAAAAAAACAAACAAAAAAACCCCAACAAAACCAACAAACCACAACCAACCCACCCAGCCTTCAAATAAAGGCTTGTTAATTAAATTAAGAAATTATTTCAACAGGATTGAACTGCTTAGTAGCCCCTTAGACCCAAACAGGCTTTCTTGATACATGTATTTGAGGGCAGACCAACATCTCATAGGAACAATTATTAATAATTAATGATAGGAGCCTTATCTTTCAAGTACAGTAATGATTTTTTTTTTTCAGCTAGAGGTGTTTCCCAGGAACACATCGTAGCAGCAAGGCAAAAAACCCCACAGATCAAAAATTTAATGAGGCAAATGCATTGATCATCACAGTCCAAGCACTGACACTTTTCAAGAAGCCACATCTGCTTTCAGACATGCCATCTGGGGGAAAATAATACACTTATTTTTAGTATTATATGAGTGAGAATGTCAGTATCCCAATTTAGAAGTCTGAAAAATCCTTGTAACACTCAGATAGTACTGCTATGGTGACCAAAAGCATCTCTGAGCTTTGCTATGGCAGAGATTTGTCTTTAAGAGGAAAAGCTGAATAAAGCAGCTCAGGGGTGAACTAGCACATAATACGTACACTTGAAGAAATCATTTTATTCAACATGCTGGCTACTTTTTAAATTTAAATTAATTTGAAGAAAACAGCAACCAGTTACCACACAAGGCAGTGGAGACACAGGGCTGGAGCCTCTTCTTGGAGGTGACTAACTCCCAGTATATAACTTGAAAATTTTATTAAGTTACTCTGTAGTTCCCTCACCTCCCCCTTTCACATCCAAATACAGGAGCTGAATGTCCAGAAGTGTCACACAGCACTTTGGCACTGTCTAGTTTATGTGAAAAATGCATTTTCTTTAGCTATATTCCCATTGTGAAACTTTTGATTTTGAGCCATAAGCTATATTCTGAACTTGTTTTAATTGAATGGGAAAACACATGCCATTTTTATTATTTTGTAAAGTTAGGAAACATCATAGAGATAAAATAAGTCTATGTGAGTTATCTATTCTATTGCTCTCTAAAACAGTTGTCTACACTAGAAAAACAGAACTAGAGGCTTGCAGGAATCATAGAATAATTCATTCTCAGCTCTTTTCTGTCCATCAACAGCAAGTATTTTTCTTTCAAGTCTGTGAAGATTATAAACACTGGGTTACTTTGGGCTATCTGAGCAACGATTTAGATTTCAAATAAGAACTGTCACAGCTGAAAGCTTAAAGCTCTGTTTGCTTGGCAATTCTCCACTCTATTTTCAGAATTATGTTGTCAGAACTGTTTACAGTCCAGAACACATACTGACTCAGAGAGGTGCAAAACCACTGAGCTCTCTGGAAAGTCAATTTCACACACACTGAAATAGATGCCAATACTTTAGATTTATTCCATGCTAAACAAAAAAATTCATTTGGCCTAAGAAAAAAAGAGAAAGAAGGAAGCAAGATATGCCATTACCAGCAGCACTGACAGAATTATGCAAGGAGAACAAAGCTTTAAAGCTTCTCATCTGCCAGAGGCTCTGCTGTTCCATGCAAATAACTAGTGTTTTCCCTTTACTCTAGGTGCTGTCATTTATCATCTTTATCTGCTTTATTGCATCTCTAGCTGCCTCTTTCATGATGGCACCACTCCTAGAGTTTCTGCTGGCACTGTTTCTTTTTTTTGCCTATGCCTTCAAACTTAATGAGAAGTTTAAAGGATTCTACTGGCCTTTGACGGTAAGTGAAATGTACAATATAAACACATACATTTAATTGTACAGCATAACTTGAATAAAAGGGACTCTATAGGAGTTTAGGCTGACTGTTAACAACTTAACCCCTCTATTAGAAACTTGTCCATATTGCCTCTTATTCTAAAGGTCCCAAAGCAATCTTTAAGCTATTCTGCAAGTTATAGCTTTCTTGGTGGTGACACAAAGCATGGTTTCCTTAAAGCACAGAATTCATGCCTCATTCCAGGCAAATGGAATGGGGCCAGATCTTCAGAAGCAGGCAGCACCAGCCTAAGTCTGACCACTGCTGGGGTCTCCTTCATAAGTATTGTCACCCTTACAAACGGGGAAACTGAGGCATACTATACAGTAATGCATACACTTTACTAAAATGTCTTAACATTCTTAGGTTAAAGGCAGTTAGACATGGAGTCATCCTCGCATGCAAACAAACTGACAACTGCTTTTGTTAAGGGGGGAAGAAGCCCTGCAATGCTTACTTGCAGATGCTCATTCAGAACAAGGAAACCACTGGCTGGCTTTTCTTCGGGGAGTTTTTGGGTTGGCGGTGGCAGGTGACAGCTGCACACTGGCCACTGGATGGCTCTGTTGCTTCAAACATTCGTTCTAAACAGAACATTTGTCTAGCAGTACAAATAGTTTCAAAAAACGCTAATCCAATCGATCTGGATTCTCTTTCGGTACAGTCTAGCAATAGTTCATCATAGGTCCCTTCCAACCCAAACCATTCTATTCTTCTGTGACAGCGAGATCTGAATTTAAGAGCTCTTAATGAGCTCAAAACACATTAGCAAGGCCATCAGTGGATAAAATAACATTAGGGACTTTTGACTATGACAGTGTGGATGGCTTTCAGATTGTAATCTCAGTTCCACCATTTTCTATATGCACCTGATTCCAGAACTATGACAAAAAAATCACTTGTATGTTTACTATGTCCATTACCATAATATACTCTAGCCACACACTGTATCTAACTGACCTCGTCCTGACTTCAGAAGAGCCAAATTTCTTGTAGGATTTGTGTTTTGAGACAGTATCTTATTCACCCACGTGTTCCAAAAAGGCAGAAGACCTAATTGTGAACAGAGGTTAAGATCCCATTATCCCAGCTCACATGATTTACACATGCCCTGAGAATCACAGTTCTTTATTTAATACACAGTTCAGAGACACTTGGTGCTCCAGCACATCCCTGCTTGAATTGTTGGGCATATGGCCCCCACCCTGCAGAGCTACAGCCTCAGCCACAGGAGCACATATTTCAATGACAGCAAGAGGTACATTCCCTTCAGGCTAGCTGTTGGAGTTACATGTCTACATACCAAGTATAAATCATAGTTTCCAATACTATAAGCATTCAGTTTCTAAATGAGGAGTTTCTACAGACAGGCCTGCTTTTCTGTAGAAAGAAGCACACACCTGTTCCCCATGGGGACAGGTACACTCCCCTGGAGCCTTTGGAACAGCAGCAGTTCTGCTTAAAGGGCAAAGACTTTTGAAGGCCATTCAAGTGATACTTCCGTGGGAGCCCTTCCTGTGCTCCAACTTAATCATCAGAGAAAGACAGCCCTTCTCAACTTGAAGAAACTCATGTCGAAAGTAGGATTTACACCAACATCTCTAAGAGCAGAAGCTTATGCCAAGATTCCTGTCATCTTGCATTTAAAAACATTTGCCAGATGAAGAATTCACCTGCCACAAAATACTAGGCTGTTGTCACAGTCCAATGTCAGGCAGATCCAATGACGCAACAATGAAAGTTTTAATGGTCATTTCAGAAATAATTTTTAAAGGAGTTTGTGCATTGGAATTACGTGACTAATCTGAGAATGCAACATTGTTTATTTTACAGGATTTCTTGCGGTGTGTCACTGCTGCCATTATTTACTTCGCCATTTCAATTGCTGCTGTCTCAAAATATAATGACGGAGCATCTAAAGCAGCAGGAGTAAGTAGACGGGGGCTTTCCACTTAGGTATTTTGGTCAACTGTGTATGGATGTACTTAAGAAACAACTGAATGTTGACCCCATTGCAAGTAGTTGAAGCTTCTTCAATACACTGAGAATTATATTTGCCTAAAGCAAGGAAGAAATGGTCAGTTATTGAGAAAAACAGGTTTTGAATCAATTAGTATTTTTTTCATCCTTACAGTGCTGATAATGATAACTACACTACTTCAGGAAGGCACCTATTCTGCTTTTTGATTTCACCAGGTGTACAGGGAAGATAAACTTCTCTCTTCCTGCAAAGAACATCAAGATCCTTGACTGGAGGGAATAATAATAATAAAAAATAAATCAAACCTGTAACTATTAAGAATGGTCTAAATTAAGTAGTTTCAATCTCCTGACTCTACTGCTTAATTTTACTTGGATGACTTTAAACAAGCAGTGTCATTTTACCCTCCAGTGTATGGCCTGCCCAGGAGAGAGCCTTCAGCAGCAGCATTTTGCGTTTAGAAATAAGATACAGCCTTTCCATCTGCAACTTGACCCTATAGCCATCAATAATGTATGCAACATAAATAAGATTTGCATAGTGATTTAAAAAGATAGGGAAGAACAAAACCCAGTAGTGCTAGCCAGCAACCCTTACCAAGCCATCCCAAGGCATATGCAATTTCAAAACTATCTTGTTTTAATCTTTGTCACTTGGTTTGGACATGGACCAATGCAACACAGCATTTACCCTCACTTCTGAGACTGAAAAGCAGCCTATTCTTGCTACACTGCTGCTTCTTTAACACTAAAGAGGTAACTAGAATAATTTTATCTCAAGCTACTTCACTCTGCAATAGAGATGTCTCCTTGCAAAACAGTAAAAAAGGCATTTTCAGAGAAATCAAGGTGATTTCTTGTTGGCAAAGAGATGCCCTGGGATGGTGGAGGTGCAGGTTATGTTCTCCTGGAACTCCCAGCACAGGACAGAGCTAAAGCTCAGAATGTGCCCAGAGCGAGAGAGCAATGTGGCCTTCTTAGGAAGGAACAAGAAAAAAAAAATTCAAACCCAAGTTTTCTGTTAGAATTTTTCTTGTGTCAGTTAGGGTTACTTTGGTTGGTCACTGATAGATATGAACTGTTGTTAAACAGTGTTGTTTTGCCATTTTAGGTGTTTGGATTTATAGCCACGATAGTCTACGCCATTGATTTCTACATAACCTTCAATGAGCTGGTTACTTTCCTCAAGCAAGGCAGTTCTGATTCCCCTCAAGGGCACAAGTCAGAAGGTAGGTAGAATTCCCCACTTCAGTTATATGAGCATGTAACATGAGATTTTATTCTCTGTTTCACCCTTTACAGGGGAGGCAAGAACAGTCGCTTAGTAATAACAGTTTCTGTTCTTGGCTACCTTGGTTTTAAATGCCACAACAATGCTGAATTATGAAGCTGCTTAGTCTTAATACAAGAACCGGAATTTCAATGATTTATAAAGATAACTAGCAAGCCAGGAATGAGAAGTTTCTCAGAGTGTTCTGCCATCTAACTTAGAAAGGTTCCAAATACAACTATAGAAGTTATTGTGCAGCACAGACTTTTTGCTCCCATCAAGAAGTCTTATATTAAAAATAAACAAGCATCTATCTTTTTCCAATAGCATTATTCTCTTCATCATGTCTATCATCATTACCTCTTATTCTGATTCAAGCTTTGACCATCTGTAGACAAACAGTCTTGAAATCCAATCCATACAGCATAAAATTAACAAGATTGTTACCAAATTTCTAATATAAAGGGGTACAGTCTACCTCAAATCAGACCCACTTAGACAAAGATAAAATGAGAGACCTGCTTTTTGGAGGTGAAACGCACTTCAAGTCAGGACATGAGTAGCTATTTTGCAGTACCCAGGAGCCCAAATCAGGCATCATGCCCCTGTGATACTACTCTTTGCACCCATGCATATGAAAAAGATTGTTAAAAACATAAATCCCAAAACCTCAAAAAAAACAAACAACCCACACAGAAACAAAATCCCCAAAAACCCTCAAAAACAAACACCCAAGATGTGTACAGAATCCTAGAAAATATATAAAAAGGCTGACACACTTTTCTAGGTATTTTTGTAGACAATGTTTTTCAAGCTTTAGATCAAAAAAAAAAGAGACAGAGGACTTAAAGGAACCGATCATAGAAAGCTGAGTCACTGAAAACTGTTTATCCTCACAAACTGACCTCAAGAAGAAGATCAGGTGACGAAGGTATGAAATTAGGCTAAAGATTAGATCTCATTTCCCTGGAGATGGAGAGAGAAATATATGAACTTACAAATATGCAGTCACACAGCTTTGTGTTGATGATCTGACCATGCAAAATGGGCTCTGCCCTGCAGCAGTGTTTCTCCAGCACCAAACTCATGTTCACATTGGGGCTTTCAACTGCTCAGGCCAGAAATCCTTTGCCTCCTTGCAAGCTGAGTCTCATGCTTGAGCAGAATGCACCTCTGTAGGCCTCTTGGGATTTGTCTTAAAGCTTCTGGTTTTCAGATACGTTTAACTGGCAGCACGTAACCCTGACCCACAGCAAACGGCAATATTCTCGCAGAGGAAGCGTCTCTTCAGCAGACTTCCTCTTGGTGGTCATGCTAACAGTATCATCTCTGCAGCCTTCATTTGAACTGTTATCTGTTGTAGTGGTCTAGGTGCCTCTTGGCAGCGTTTCTCAAGTCCTTTGAAACACCATTTAAAACTCTATCGTGTTAAAACTTTTATTTTACAAGGCTTTTCCTAAATTTGCCACATCCTTTGAAGCAGACACCTGCTGAAGAGCAGCATCTCTCTCCAGCAAGAGCTAAAGCTGTCATGGAGATTTCCAGTTTTCATTTTCACTGTTGTTCCTCATTTTACATTCCAGATGAGGACTCCAATTCTGACTCAGACTGAAGAACCAAACACCAACCAAGCATGAAGGGAAGATGATCAAGCACCTTCCTCTTTGCTGAATACACTGTCAATTGAAATATCTCCCTTATTCAGCCTCGGTATCCTCTTTCCACCTGTTTATGGAATCATCAAAGCACAAACATGGCAGTGATGTGGGAAAGTAGACTATTCCCAATGCCATTAGACACTCCTTCAGAACAGTAGTTCAACCTGCCATAGACATCTGTATCCAAACACCATATCTCAATTCTCCATTACCCCTCCTTACTCAGCACTACAATGTACTGAGTAAATGGGAACACAGCATTTTAAGCATAGAAGTGGAGCTTTTAATATGCTTTCTCAGTTCCAAATATTTAATACTTATAGCTTTTTTTACTTCTTACTGTGCCAAATAAGAGGTTCAGAATGCCTCTTTTTTTTTCTTTATTAACTAACAATATTTTCTTTGTACGAAGTCTGAATATTCCACTGTCTTGAGCACTGAAGGCATAGATAGTTAACATGTTGGTTTCAATACATTTATATCTACTAAATATTTGCAACAAGAAAAGGTGAGAACTGAAAATCTCCAGCAAGAACAAACCTCAAAGTATAACTGTGTTGCAGGGTAACTGGCTCATCAGACATTCACAATCACTTTTAAGCTGTTTGGATGGGGTCACATCCCATCTTCTACAGTTTCAACACAGATAAGAGGTTGGACAGATGAGTCATCATCTTACCAACCCCTTCCACTTGCCTGGAAGCCTTTGTACACGTTTGCACATACTGTAAGGAAGGCTGGCCAAATTCCACCCAATTTTATCTGCCTATTGAAGCCTACAAATTTTTGTGTGCAAGATGTCACTGTCTGATCTCATGCTCTGTGTTGTGAACACTGGTCCTCCCATGAGAAGCAGCACTGGATTTTGTCCACTGGGTTTGCAAAACAGAAGACTGTTTCTGTAGAACTCAGGATATCTGGGCCCCAGAAGGGCAACACAGCCTTCCACTGTGAAAACCCCCAAAAAAACCCCAAAAAACAACCACCTCCAAACTGAAGAATGTCTGCAATGAAATTCATTTTCCCAGACCACTTTTTTAGGGGTGTGTTGTCTGGTTTGGGTTCCCCCCCCCCACCAGAACATGACTCATCTCATGGTCTAGTTACTATTCTGGGGGGAAAGCCTTCTGAATTTATAAGAAGGTGTTTTCATGGGTAGCACAGCCTACCTTGAAATATTTGTGTTCACCTATAATCACATACTCCTTGGAAAAAGCATGGCCTGCTCCTTATATATGGCATCAGACAGGTCAATTTCAAAGAAACCTGTATGTGTTTTTTAAAAGTTAATACAGTACCAAAACAGGTGGCCTTAAAAAGTAATTAAAATGAGAGCAGATGGTACTAACAGAGTAAATTAAAAACAGGGATAAAACAATAAAGGCAGATTTCCTTTGGAACCAAATTACTGCTTGGGTTCCAATTCCCTGCTAGCAGCTGGCTGCTGGTGGGCAGGAACACAGAACCTAACAGCGAGCAGGTGCTTGGGAAGGTGCTGGCCAGATTCAGAGTTGTCCAGCAGGCAGCTCCTATAGCTCCTGTTTCCAGAAACTGAATAAAAGCAAAACACATGGTTGCTTCCAAATGTGACAAATAATCTTTGCTTTTATGAAACAGAGCTCTTTGGACCTTTTCTGGTATGAAATTCCATATTTCTTCCTTTTCTGTTGTCATATTTTACTGGCATGAACTGTGATATCAGGGGACCTGGGCTTATTTTTATATTCAATTGTTTTGTATTTCTACTTTTTTTTTTTTTTTAATTAAAAATGTACTGCATGTCACAGCTGGAAACTAGTACATGGTTAGTATTTAGAAACCATGCTGGATTAAACCTTTTTTAATGGAAGTGTTTGGTGTCTTTACTTATTTTAAGACCTGGTTTTACTGCGTCACCTCTGGCCAGAAAGAGCATTTCAAGAATCCCCATCAGAAGCACGGGGTGTGCTGGGGAGGGGGTGACAGCACAGAGCCAGTGCTGGAGACCAATCTCTGAATGCTTTTGTCTTGCAAGGAGAAACTTCATTTTCAGTGCATAAGCACGAAAGAATTAAACCAAGAATTAGTTTTAGCATAGTTGGCAGACATCAGAGATCCAGTGCTCTTACTTAGCATCTAATAACATTGTGAACCACAGTCCACCTTAGGTTTACATTTCACAGATATAATCTGCTAAGGTTTTCTAGTGATTTTTTCATACTGGGATACTCCTAAACAAACAGAAGAGACAAACAACATTGCTCATTAGTTGCTTCAGGACTACTCTGGCAGGCATGCAATGAATTGCCTGTCCAGACAATTTCATTATTAGCATTCAAGTATTTGATGATTTAATTTATTTCTAAACAGTTTGCTCCCAGGGTCAAGAACTTGGTGTAAGATTCCAGCCTTTATTTAAAAAGATCTCTTCCCATGATTGAAATAAAATACACTTTTGTATTTTATTAATATAAGTTCTGAAAAGATATTTCAATTAAAAATAAAGTCAATTCTGATTGCAGAGGGGCTGATAGTCTTTTGCTCATCTCATGGCAGCAATATTGCACTAAGCTCAGAGTCTGGTGTAGGGCAAACAAAAAGTCTGCTTTGTTTTTGGGCTTTTTTGTTCATTTGCTTGTTTTGCTTCAACTGACAGGATGAAAATAGTGGAAGCATTAGTTTCTCTGCAATTCAACACAAGCATAATGGCAATTCAACCCGCAATGGCAATTCATGGAGGCCTTAATGAAGTTCTTGTTTTGGTGTACTAGCACGGTCATAATCAAAGATCTCTTTTCAATCACAATACATTTTTGTTCCAAACAGGAGCTGTTTCCAAACCCCACCCAGGCTAATACATATCTTCATTACAACCAGAGTGTGCCACTGTTCCCATTTTTAATTCCTGTACTTGTCGAACAGCACTTAGACAAACCTAGGGAGCGATGAGAGTTTCCAATACCAAGTGTGGAACAAAGCTATATAGAGGCAATACAAGAAGTCTTATAATAACAACACTGTGAATCAAAACCACTAACAGGAAGAAAAAACAATTAGCTGGCATCACAGCTGAATGACTTCATATAGCTCTCACACTGAAGGTCTCTATCCCTCCTTCTATCAAAAAGCTTTTACACTGTTCTGTGGAAGATTTGTTCAGTCTTCTGTGGTGATTTTGGACAAGTGATGTTAAGGAATTCAAAAGACCTCTCTAAGCAGCTGTTTTAAATTCTCTGAGTGAAGAGGCTCAACTGTCCTTTTAGCACTTTGTCCATTATTCCACTTTATTTTACTTTTCCCCTGATACCGTTCAAAGTTCTGTAAGTCTTGAATTTCCAACTGACACAGTAATTTCCAAGAGACTAAGTGCAAAGTGGTGTATATCTCAGCCTGTGTAGTATTTAAGTAGAATCCTTCCACCAGCCCAGTGTATTGGAAAGCAAAAGACAATCTGATGCCCTACATAGCAAGCAGATGTTTTTCATTCATTATGCTTCTGGTAAATGTTCATTGTGCAAATTTCTAAGCCAGAATTTTATAGCTGCGTCTTCCCCTACTAAGCGACCAAAAAGCCGTATCATTATGTGAGCATGTACTTGTAACCACATACAAACAGTGCACGTTTCTGACACCCTGTACATCTACAATCTATAAATAAATGAGAAAAACATACATATTGCTACTAGGCTGAGCCAAAGCTCATGGCAGGCAGCTTGTAACCAACCTTTTAAGAGAATAAAAATAGTAAAATGAAGTGGCTTCATTCCAAAGACCAGGATACAAACTGCCACCAAAGAGCAAGTACAAGGTAGCTATCACCTTATTTTTTTACATTTGCGTAAAGAAGCTCCACTGAGCCATACTATAATCCTTTTCTGACCATGGAGAGGAAAAGAGAATGCACCAACAAAGCAGGAGAAATTTAGGTAAGCACTGAGAATATGAATCCTGTTACAAGACACTTGAGACACCTTTTTGCATGGATTATTGGTTTAAAAGTAAGGATAGACACGACCTCTTGGCTCCCTTCTAAGTAAACAGGACTGTATAAAAAAAAAAGTCTCTACAACACAAGATTCCTCCTTTAGTAGAATTCCCAGTACTGTAAACATTTTGTAAAACTTCTCAATCAGAAGGTGTAACAATGATACCCAGATGTCAGTGTATTTTTAAAAATTATATAATTTTTAAAAATAGATTTTTCATTGTTTCCTTGAAAATGAAAACAAGTTATTCCAATATTAATTTTGGCCAAGTAATACCTGTGCTTGTATTTTATGTATCTGTGATGCTGTCCATCACATTTTGTTAGCCTGATCCATTAAATAAGAAATCAGTTATAGTCTTCCCAGGAGACTAAAGAAGATTCAGCATTTAGAAGTTAGACAAAATATGTTCGCTTTTAGGTTTTTTTTAACTCAGCAGCTGACAAAGCTTCTCTTGACCAAGGAACATCACAGATAACAGCACTAGCAGCAATATGGCATTAAGCCCAGCACTGTAATTCTTTATGTTCTTAAAAAGCACCTATTTCATGAAGGCCTCATTTCTAAGAAGGTCCAATGAATTCAACACGACAACAGATGAGTTTACGGTTGCTGGCAGCCCCACACAGGCAAAATGAACTAGCCCCTCTTCTAGCAGAAAAGTTGCACAAGCACGTGACTCTCCTCAGTGAATCCTCCTGTAGAAGTTCAATCATACCACCACCTTTGTCCCCCTCCCTACACACATTATCCCTAAGCAGTGTTTTACGCACATTATCCATATTGCCAAAGCTTTCCACAACAATTCAACCATCCATGCATTTCCTCAGTTCTTACCCTTATTACCTCAGTGCTTTCCCCTCACACTCAAAGCACCTGGATACCAAAAATACCAATTCCACCAAGGTAGGACTTGCGACCTCCGGCCCACGAGCATTACCCATTCACTCTGGCATTTCAGCTCCAAAATTCCTTTCCAGGCCAGAACG